GGTGGTTATGTGCTAATTAATTTCTCTTACCTGAAATATCTCAGGCTTGTTCTAAAAATAAACTAAGAAGAGAACCATATACACTACATTTTTAGCTCTAGTTTGAAATAAAGACCTTAACAAACTTTTAAGTAAAAACTGCCTTATTTTGTACTCTATTTGTCTATTAGCCTACAATATAAGATTTTACAGCTAAACCACTGCCTACAATAACTCAGATCACATAACTTTAACAGCATTGTCAGACAAGCAACTAACATGACAAAGAAGAAAAAGATGAATGAATAAAGCTCTGAAAACTGATATTTGAGGTTATTGGGGTTTTTTTCTAAAATGCTAAAATTATCAGGAAGATGGTATATAAGCAAGTTAATATTATTTTTATAGGATGTATTTCATACTGGGACACTTTGCCTAGAAAAAAAAGGGAAAATTACAGTTTGAGAAAATGTCACTGAGAAATGTCACTGAATAATTGAAATAGCACTGATTATTTTTCACATTATTTTGCAATAAAAGCCCTGCCCAATCCTTTGTAAAGGTGTCTTTGAAAGAAACTCAACTAAAGAGGAATGTGATCGAGATAAATGAAAGAGAAACATGCATAGGTTTGTCTGTTTTGAAAAAATTAAATCAGGGAATTTTTTTCCTCTCTTTTTCTTAATAGTCCAGCTCATCCAAGAGAAGGATGAAAGGAAATGCCTAAAGCAGAACTAAACAAATATGTCTAGATAGTCGCCAGTTTGAAGAGGGATGAGACCAATTGATGAAAAATAAGACTGCCAATGGCTACCAGCATAAATACACTCTGCTCCCTCCAAGGACTGAGATGCCATGCCTCAGAGTATTAGTTGCTTGCAGAGCTTCATCTTCATGAAAAAGCTCTTCCCTAATCCCCCACTTGGAGCTTCCCAATAGCATCTGGTTAGCCATTATAGAACTGAATGCTCTACCAGGGAGGACTTTGGATTTGAATTTAGCAAGCTGCTCCTTAATTTAGATGCTCACACATAGCATTCTCTCTCTCGGTGTAACATTGCATACTGTTTGTAAATTAATTGTATGCAATATCTATATCTAGCAGCTTTGTCTACCAAATGATATGAAAGGAATTCAAGACTGGACACAGCCTTCATCCCTTTGGATGCGGTATTCTTGGATAATATGTAAGCCTGATGGATAATACAAAAAGAATTACATATCTGTAAATACTCATTTCAAACTTTAGATGCGGTTCAGGTACTTGTCTTGAGGTATATACTAGAGCAAAAATAGATATTAAATCAAATTAAAGCTACACATTGGGACCCGGATATAAGAGAGCGGAAAAAACACATGCACCCAATAGGAAGATGTTCAAAGTTGCCCCAAATAGGCATTCTCTGTGCCATTTTTATTTTATTGTGCAGGAATGGCAAGCAGGCCTATTTAAATAACTCAGCAGAATTTCCACAGTCCTGTTAACATCATTTAGTATCATGGGGAGAGAAAGAAATGAACAGAGAGTGAGAAAGAGAGGCTTGAAACTCTTTCAATCTGATGATCAAAAGCAAAACTATTCTATATATTCAGCCCTCCATTTCAGACAATCAGAATATATAGGACTTCAGAAATCAAAGAACATTGTGGTATGAAATCAGGACATCCGTATAACAAGCTGGAATGTATGCAGATCCCAGTAAGATATATGCAGGAAGTTACATGTTCAGAAAGAATATATAGGCTTTTTTTTACATTAAGAGTAAGCTTAAAGCACAGAAGAATTTAAGAATGGCAATATCTCAGACAAAATGTCTGATCAACTGCAGCCAAATGATTTAGCCCAGGTCTTCCTATAAATCAACCAGACATCTGCAAAAAAAAAAAAACAGGCACCCATACACACATTATTATTTTCAGCAGCCAATATTGAGTAGTGTTCTGCCACAGGTAACCCTTTATAATGAATATCCATAACTGTACCACTCTCTAAAAATCTGTCTACTTCCCTAAAAAGCCATCCAGTTTGGCACTCTTTGGGTACATCTCGAAGAAGCAAATTTCATAACACCACAAGTTTCCAAAGGTGCTTGTTTAAGAGGCAACTGGACTTTCTGGTTTTTCTTTGAAGACATTTTGCTTCTCATCCAAGAAGCTTCTTCAGCTCTTCTTGTTCTTCTTCAGATCTGAAGAAGCTTCTTGGATGAGAAGCGAAACATCTTCAAAGAAAAACTGAAAATCCAGTTGCCTCTTAAACAACACCTTTGGAACAACCATGGCCTAGATGGTTGAGAATCTCCATGAATCTAAGACCACCAATTCCCAGATTTTCTAGAAAGTCTGATCCTATTATAATGTATACATACTTACACAATTATTCACATGTAAGTAAGCATGCACACAGAGAGAGAGAGAGAGACAGAGAGACAGAGAGAGAGATGACATATTTATGCATTCGTGCAGTAATATTGAGAGTTAGCCAGAAGTCTGGCAGAAGATTTGCCCTGTTTCTCGATCCTGCTTCAAATGTCAGGACAGATCTGTTCAGTGTTCAGAACAACTGAAATAGAGCACCAGTTCTCTTCTACCATTTTTTACCATTGCAAATTTCAGGAATCCAAAATCAAAGCCATGAATTTGAAATCTGATTCCCAGAAGGAAGGAGGAAATAAAGTATGCCTGATCACTTGTTTACCTCTAAATTATCAGAACGCCCCACCCATGAGGGGATGAAGCAGTGGCTCTCTTTTAAAAACAGGGGCAAAGATGTTTAAATCTTTCATGATGAAAAAAAAAGTATTTCATTTTTGTAAAAAGATGCTGCAAACATTCATTTTTACATTACATAAAGATGCTTTGTTCTTTACAATACAGAAAACAGCTTTTGCGTATAATCACTGCTTGTCTTTCTCAGTACTGCGTATGCTAACCGTGGTAACCCTCCAAATATTTTCTTTCAGATTTATCAGAAGATGCAGACAATCAAATAATCAATCTATTTCTCTGCCCAATTCTTACAAGGATAGAAATCAACTCTGTCCCAATACAAATGTAAGAATGTTGAAAAGAAACTGCATGAGACGATTCTTAGTTGATCTTCACCAGACATTAACTAAATGTCACAAGAGGTTCCAAAACAAACAAAAAAGAAAGTTGGGGGGGTTGCTGATTAGTCAAAACAACATGCCAATAAAAAAGCAAATTTTATTTAATAAATATAATGTAAATTGCTTTATTTGACCTTATGTTCACAAAATAATTTTATTATATGTATGAAAGCAGCTTACAGGCAATAGAATTATGAAAACATTCACAATACTTGAGTAACACAGACCTGATTTAGGAAGTATATTTTTATAGACCTAATTTATCACTTATATTTCTCCTTTTCTGACTACATGTCTCAATGAATGTTGTATTTTGTTCCAAAATCTGACGGGGTTTTGCTATCATTCAATCATCATCACCATCCTCTTTGTGTATTACTTTCATAGTTTTAACATTCATTATTTTTATTTCATATGATTAAGGGAATGTGGGAGGAATTTTGGTTTCAAGAGAGCAAAAAGAAAACAAATCTTGGCCATTCTAGGAACTTGCAGGAAATTGAGGACAAGTTTTGTTGTTCCATTCATTTTGTGAGAATCCAAAATCAGAACGAGGCATTGTTTTCTATCCAAGAAGCAGTGAACAAAAGTGAAAATTAAAACAAGCAGATTTAAGACAAACTGTGCTGCTTCACATGGTGCTAGCATTCCTTCGTTGCTCTTTTTGGTACCAATTTCATAAGAGCAGAGAATAGTTTGCTGGATCAGACTAAGTGGCATTGCATTCCCCCAGTGGCAGGGCAGAGGCCTCTTGGAAGTTGGCATAAGAATAGCCCTCCTTCTTGTTGGCATATGCCTGCACAATTTGAAGCTCCATTTTCATCCTCTCTTTATCAGGGAGAATATTTGTGGATAGCTCTACTCTCCAATTGTGAAAGGGGTTAATTATTCTCTCCCTCCCCCACCCCACCCCCAAAAAGTGAAGTAAAAGAAATCTAAGAGGATTAGTTCATCTTCAAATTAGCAAATATAGGTGATGTTTTATTTCTTAGTTCATCAGACCTTTAAATTGGTGTTCATTTTTCATCGGTATTCCTCTTAGATCAGTATGCGATCTACAGTTTCACAAGCTGACATTCAAGTAAAGTCAACACAGGCTGAAACTTGAAAATAAAACTACAGTTACAAATTTCATTTCTAGAAGGTCATAGTCCGTATAACTTATCATTCAAGTGATTCTGACCTTCTGTTTCAAAAAGAACCCACAAAACACCTTTCTTTCTGTACAGCAAAAGGTAATGGAGATTTATTCCCTTTGCTGTGTTTGGAACACCTACAGGTTCTAGAGTTAGCTAGACAAAGCTGATTTTGCAAATTCTCCCTTTTTCTTCTTCTTCATAAAGTGCTGACTAGTAAACAGATCAAAAATGCAATGAATAACACCATACATACAAATATCCTATTTTTTTCAACATATATTAAAATAAGATAAAGTCGTGTTTGCTTAAACATATGAAAAAATATCCATTTAAATAATAAATAAAGAAAGCCAATATTGACACATAATCTTCCTACTATTAAAAAATATCTCATTCTTATTATAAGGCTGTATTGATGTTCAAAATTGTTTTAAAAGGCATCCACCTAATCTGGCAAGTTATCAAATTTTTCTTGCAATGTATAAACACTCACAAATGACTATGCAAGTCAAATGAGAATCTCATATAAATCTATTACATTTTATTCACACAGAGAAATATAATTAGTTTCCCCAGGTCTGTTTCTGCAAACATGTATCCACTTAAAACTCTTTTTTTTTTCCTTTTTTTTTTTTTTTTTTTTGCAGCTACACCGTACCTACATATTTGATTCATTTCCATTCAAGATGAACAACATAGAACACTCTTTAAATACAATGTATGAAAGGTGGAAATCTTTTTAAAATTTTATGTTTTTGTCAGACAGCAGCTGATTAAGCTCTGGATTTTTATGTGATGGCTTTGATTCTCACAATAGCACACCTTCTTACTAAAAACAGACAAAAAAAGTTGAAAATCTTTCTCGAATGACCACTTTTTTTTTTTTAAATGAGTCAACTTTCCACCTCAGGTTTTATGCTGGCCATTTTGCGTGATTGGTTTGATCTTTTCCAAAGACACATCAGCCTCGAAATCCAAAATACCTGACAGGGTTGGAGAAATTTTATCCAAGGTTTTAGAGAATACCCCCTCCTCTTCTTTTTTCATCATGTCTTCTTCTTCTGGGCAGAGAACTGAATGGGGAATCAAATAGACAAAATTGCACTCTTTGGGACTGGACCCTCTTGGCTCAAGCTGACTCGAAAAACCCATACCCCCATTATTGTTGATACTAACTGTCTCTATCGCATTAATGGAGAAAGGACAGAGTCTATAGCAGCCAAGAAGAGTGGAAAATGCCTTGCGGAAATCTGCATTGAAGGCATAAATGATCGGGTTCAAGGAAGAATTGGCCCATCCGAACCAAACAAAAACGTCAAAAGTGGCAGAACTTATACAAAATGGCTCTGCTCCCTGGGATGAGATACTGGGCTCACAAAAGGGCACCATGCAGTTCAGGATGAAGAAGGGTAGCCAACAGCAAACAAACACTCCCATGATCACTGACAAAGTCTTTAAAACTTTAGTCTCTCTCTTGAAGGACATTTTGAAGGAGCTTTCTGGGTGCTGGCCATCCATACTGTTCCTGTTGCCAGCGGTGGTTTGACAGTTCTTAGCATGCACGGCTGCTCGTTCCAAGGCTGATATACGCCGTATTTGCTTTTGAGCAATCCTATATATCCTTGTATAGGTGACTATCATGATGGCCACAGGGATGTAAAAACTAATAAGAGAGGAAGAGATGGCATACATCCTGTTCAAACTGGAATCACAGTTGTCCATAGCCACACCTTGGAAACTGGCATTTAAGTCTAAAAAGCTTGTGGTTTTAGCTTTGTGCCAGTTCAGTTGTACAGGGATGAAGGAAATCAGCACAGACAAGGTCCACGCCACACTGATCATCACAAAAGCTGCCCTGGGGGTCATTTTCCTCTCATACCTAAACGGGCTAGAGATGGCCCAATATCTGTCCACACTAATGACACACAAATTTAAGATGGAGGCTGTGGAACACATGATATCAAATGCCACCCAGATGTTACAGAATGATCCAAAAGGCCAGAATCCAGCTATCTCGGCCACAGCTTTCCAGGGCATGACCAACACAGCAACTAAAAGATCTGAGACTGCCAAAGAGATCACAAAGAAGTTGGTCACCTTGGACCTCAGGTGGCGAAACCTAATGACAGCTGCGCAGACCAGGGTGTTGCCTAGGAGTGTGGAAAGGATCAGCAAGGAGAGGAAGCAGCCGGTGAGGATTCGGAAGCAGGAATCTCTTTTCACAAGCAACCCTTCCCCGTCCATAGTGGTGTTGTTCCAAATCATCTTTCCTTCTCAGGCAAAATCATGTCACAGGCCTGGTAGGGGCTTCAGCTCCTCGTGTTCCCACAGAGCTTGCAATTTAATTGCTCAGAACCAGGCAGGCATCCTAAGATTCATGCTCAAGTCTCTGGTCTTGGGAGGATCCCTTTGCTTTCTCTCTCTATTTCTCTCTCCAAAAAAAACTTTAAAAAAACAAAAACACACAGATAATCCATCACAAGTATCTGAACTTGTTGATCACATCGGGGCTCACCTTCCCTCCCCACCTTCCCCCCCCCCTGCCTTTTTTAAAAAAAACAATCTTCTTTTAAATATTAGCCAAAAATAGAATACTTTTAAGCAGGAACAGGCCAGCGGGAAAATATCCTCAGAGAATTCTGTACAGAGCGTAATTACTTTTCAGCTTGCACTTTTTCTCACTTAAATAGATTAATGATTCTTTTAACTAGCCCCTCTGCTCTAATGAGGTAATAATTCTTCAAGTGTTCTGGTTGCCGATACAATTTCTCGTCCCTCTAATTGATGGACATCTTAAACCCACCTCAGCCTTCATACCTTTCTGATCTGAAATTAAAACATCAGTTCTGCCTTTATACGCAGCCTCGGGACTCAGTTCCTTTCATTGTTCCAAATAGTTTAATAAAGATTCATCGTCCTAGAGGCAAAGAAAATAAATTTACATTTTAAAACATTCAGAAGGTTTATAGAAGGACCATAGTTTTGCATAAAGAAGAAATTCTCCATCCTACCTTTAGGACTTCTGATGCTCGTGTCTAATCCAGGGAAACAATTTTTTTTCCTTTCAACTTTATATTTAGGATTTGAATTGCATAGCAAGACAATGGGTTACAATCACAGCAAGCGAATTGTGTTGCTTTGGGAATAATATCCTGGTGGAAGAATGCTAAGCAGGCACTGACTTTTTTAGCAAAAGCCACCAGACTGAACTTTGAGGACTCTTCTGAATTAGCCTTCTCAGGACATGGACAAGCTCCTTCAATTCTAGCCAGCCCTTATGATTCATGTGCAAACTCTGTGCATCAAAGCACTCCCGTCTGGATGTTCATCACCCAAGTCACGCTTTGTACATCCTGTTGAAATGCCCCATCAGGATGAAATCATCCAAAGCAAAGACATGATATTTCCAGTTTTCTGGCAAAGGTCTTGAAAAGCGTTGATGGTCTTTTAGTTTTCGTTGGAAGAATGAAGGAGAAGAGTAAGGACCGATCCAGAGTTCAGGTCCCTTTGGATCTGGATATTTCAGCTATAGCCCATTCATTGTTCCTCAAACATTAGGTGTAACTGTCAATGGTTCCTTTTCTTTCAAATGCATCCAAATAGGGTAGTTTCCTCAGATTCTTCTGCACTCTAATCTTAAACATGCTTCTATGAACTCGCAAGTTTTCTCTTCATCTCGCCAAACCGACAGTCCTGGAAGTATTGGCTTCATTCTGCCTGGAGTGATAGAGAGCAACATAATCTGGCATGGAAAGATTTGTTTGCTTGAGGTCTCTTTTCTAAATCTCAGAGGAAGGACATCCAGGCATGAATAACATTATAAAGCAATATGCACTTAGATTTCCTGACCTTAAAATCAAGCATCTTCTCTTGCCGGAAGCTGTCTTTCTCTCTTTTTCTTCTATAGCACAGAATAAATACACTGTTCTCCCTATGTGTGAAGGAACAATGGGAAATTAAATGCCACAATATTCAAATATTTGAATATGCCATCCTAATATTAACTCCCCACTGCCACTAAGGTTGCATAGCAGTACACAGGATCCTGCTTGTCTTTCTAAACAGTCAAGGTATATAGATTTATCCTCCAGTCATAAATAAATGGACAAATATAACCCCAAGTGCTCTTTAAAATTACTCAGCTGGTTGTATCAGACATCCAATTTTCCAGGCTATCTGTGCAGACTCAAGGTATAATTGTGCTTGGCCACACATGTGTATAAATACTTAAGGATGCCAGAAATACGCTCATGCTCCAGAATGTATGAATTTTCGTTCTTTTAGGTCATGATTTACGAAAAGAAAAACAAGAAAAAAAAAATCAAAATGCTCCACTACCAACACACAGTCAAGCCAAAGAACCTGCCTGCTTATAAACCCAAACCAGCTGCCATAAACAAAGACCATGCATAACTCGAGTTGATGTTAAGGGCTGAGGCATGAACTTACCAAATAGAGAAGTTGTTTATGAGGGTGGGCCATTCCTGAGGGCTGATGGTACAAACTCCCAGCTGAAAGAACAAGACTCACTTCATCTTTTTTGCCGCGGTTTATTCCCGGTTCTTTTCTTTCCTCTCTCCCTCCCCTCCCCTTCTCTCTGCACTCCACAGCAAGGCACGGTTCACTTTCTCTTTATATGATTCATTGTGTTGTTCACCAACTTCAGCAACTCTGATTTCACCGTGAAGCTGGCTCCCTCTTCTGGTAAAAGTGAGATAGGCATATCCAACAGGAAAGGAAATATTCCTCATTAGCATCATTATGGTCATCCCAATCATGCTGCTGTGTTCCTGGAAAGGGAGGGAAGAGGGAAGAAGAGAAGGATAAACAGAGTTATTGGCGTGTTCCTTTCTTAGAAAAACTCCTTCTCAAAGCAAATTGAAAGCTCTGGGACAGGAAAGGGCAACAGAAGAATGTCTTTGGGAGCGTCTGGTCAGCATAGGCTCTGAGTGGTATCAGGCAGAATCACCATTGGAGCAACGCAGCTTGAATTCTGACAAACTCCCAGAAATAATATATTTCACCCCTGAATTTTTGGGAAGAATACTTTCAAGGTTTTGGGACTCATTTGCTAAATACATTCACTTAATAAATGGATCCATCTTCTGCCCAGCAGTTTGTTCTATTTTATCTTTAAACAGAATTCTGTCTTTCATCCAAGCTATATTTATTTTTATTTATTTATTTTATTTATTTGATTTGCCAATTGTTTACAAGATAAGTATAAGTGTATACATAGTTGTGAATACATGAAATGGGTACATATAAGAAAAATAAAAGAAGAATAAGAGAAACAATAGGACGGGGACGGTAGGCACGTTGCTATATTGTAGCCACCTTCTGCTTTAAAAAGGGGGATTGCTAAATGACATCAGAGTTTGCTAAGAAATATAGATTTAAAGCCTGTTTTGCTCTTTACACCAAATTCAGAATTGCAATGAAGCAATTCCCAGATTCTGACGGCCAACATTGGAAAATGCCACTATCACTGTGTGCTGGATAGGATCCAGGGTCAAAACAAAAAGCAAAAAAAAAATTAAAGAGGAATGAACTGCTTCTTGCCTATGAGTAGTAGCTGATTCAGAAAATAACAAACTTTTTGGAAAACATTCTTAGCCACTAGAAAATCTGCTGTTCCAAGGCAACACAGTAACATGTCAAAAGCCTGAGACTTGGTTCCTGAACCGTCCCTGAGGTTGCCACTGGACTGTAAATTCTAATATAAACAAAGGGGAACATTGTGAAGCATAAGAGGCAGGTTGATTCATTTAATTGTATTTTGACCAGGACATCTCCATCCTTTTGGCATGCAGCCCTAGCACATTCCTGAGCATTGAAACTTGCTGTGCTTTTTTTTGCAGTAACTCTTATTTCCTATCTCCTTCTTTCTTTCCTTCTTTCTTTCCTTCCTTCCTTCCCTTAACAACCAGGTTACTAACTTATCATCTGTAGTGATTCACTTAACTGTGGCAAGAAAGGTCACAAAATGGGGCAAAACTCACTTAACACATGTGTCACTTAACAACAAAATTTTTGAACTCAATTGTGATCATAAGTCAAGGACTACCTGTAGTCAATATTTGGCCTGAACAAAGTGCAGTTTGGAGTTCAAAAAAGCAATACATTATAGGGTGTGTCAAATTTTTCAGCTTTCCATCTCCAAACATTGGGGTGCTCAAACGTTGTGACATGCCTTTGCCTTGGGCATTGTAAAGATATTTTGATTACTTTAATATAATTTAGATACGCTTGGAAAGTAACTACATAAATATCATAACTTTTTAATCTTTTGTTCCTTTCATTTTGTGCACTGCAGTGCTCATCGTTTATTCATCACAAAGTATGTGCTCTTTAAGCATGGCAAAATAACTATTGAAATGTACGTCTGTGTTGGTGAAACAGGCGCCAGCAGAATTTATATCTAAAAGACTGACAATAAGTCAGAAGAAATTACGAAGAGAGGTTGTCCTGCCAGAGGTTATTTTGTCCTTGGTAGTTCCTTGATGAATATTGTTTTGTGCTAGGATATTGTTTGGGGGGTATAATGGTATTGTTTTGGTATTGGTATTATTTCCAGCAGAAAATATCCCAGTCAAGGAACTTCCAAGGAGAAAACAACAACCCCACCAACATTGACAGGGCAACCCACAGTATATAAACAGAAAACAAACCCCATACTGACTAACACTGATGATATTACCTAATCAGATAACAAAATATCTGCAAGCAAACAAGCAAGCTCAGAGAGCACAATAGACTGTGCCTCTACTTGACTCATCGCAACCCAAGACCAACATCCATGCACCATAGGCTCTATACTATCAATAAAACACTTTGTGCATTTACTAGTCAGATTAAAAGATTGAAGTTTTAAAAAACCCACTGTTATTATTTAAGCTATTTCAAAGTTAGCGGGATGTGCCAGGTTGATGGAAAGCTGGGAATCATTTAGCCCCATTTCAAGATTCAAGAACTCCTCAATGCATTCTTGCTCTCTTGAGATGACTTAATCCACTGCAAGGTTGCACAACTTTGTGGAAGGGGGGGTGCGGAAGCCACGTTTCACCTCTGTGGAGTGATTTAAGAGTTAGCATCCCCAAAGTGACAAAAACTAAATTTGATTTAATATGATTTTCATTTAAATTAAGCTCAAATTCAATTCAGTTAATGTAGTTAGTACGATTACCTATGAGTCACTTGTTTAATAATGTCACATTAAAAATTACAAGCCTTTGGAGGGGCGTATGCAATCCTGAAGCTTTAGCTTGTTCTTCTCTCTGTTTGTTCAAGGGTTGGTAATTTTCATTTATACTTCCAAAGCTGCTTTGGCAGTAAGAGAGGCTAAATGAGAAATGGTTGTATTCTGAGTAGGCACAAGGTAAACTTTTCTCACTGCCATCTCATTAAGATCTAGAAGGCCAAACTACAGCTGATTTTGATGGAGAAAATATGTGTGTTTCTGCTATACAGAAGACACCACAGGAAAAAACAACACTTAATTTATTTTGACTGAGCTACTTTTACAAAGATCAAAACCAAACCTACCAGAAAATACACAAAATTATGAATAATCAAAACAAGTGCTTGCATAAATATGTTCCTAAGAGGAATTACATAAATTACATAAATACATTCCTAATTCATTACATTAATTTATTACATTAATTTATTACATTAATTTATTAGGGGCGTGCATAAGCGCACCAATATGCCTACCATCCCTCTCCTAATGTTCCTTTTTCTTCATATCCATTTCATGTATTAATTATCATGTTTATACTTATATTTGTTACCTAATACATGCTCGACAAACAAATAAAAAATAAAGGCTTTAAGAATAGCATCATTGCTGAACAAGAAAATTTCATTACTAGATGTTCACATATA